AAGTAAATCGCATTCATGTTTTACAAAACAATAACTGGATGTAATCCATTCATATCACATATATGTTCATGGCTTTGAATTCACCTCTAACTAAAATGAAATTAGTTCCACATGTTCATCATAATTGAAAACCTAATTAAAACAACCATTGGACTAAAACTAAGGATATAATACATTTAGAAATGCTCTAGCAATCCAAAGGCTTTGGATGGCAGGCATGGCTCCAAGCTCTCCTTCCTTACAAAGCTGCGGCACAAAGTGTTTAATTTCTCTAAATTTCTCTTTCTATGGCTCTCTCTCCCTCCCCCAAAATTGCGGCACAAAGTGTGTATATATAGGGTAGGGTTTACGGCACCAATCCTTGGAGGACAAGGATAAGGTTATTTGCATGATTTCAGGACTTTTAGAATTAGATATGCATTGTAAAACATGGTAAGGATTCCTAAATTCAAACGGGAAGGATTTAGGATAGGATAAGGACTCCTTTTGTAGCTAGAGATAAGTTTAGATAATGTTGGATTAAATAAGATAATGTTTGGATAATATGGGATAAGATAAGATAAGATAGGATAAGGTTGGATAAGATCTCCTTGTTTTCAATTGATTCCTTGTCTTCCAAGCCTTAATTTAATTTTTCCAGATTTGTAGCACATTTTTAGCATCATTTGTCACTGAAAACGTCCATCCATTATGCTCCTTCCACATGCTATCCAATCCAAGTCCAAAACTACTCCAAATTGCTCCATTTGGCCATTTATTGTCATCTTTGCTAATTGGACCTACAAACACACGAAAATAGCTTAAATCACTATAATAAATAGAAACTAACTCACTAAATGCAAAGAAACAAGCTAACAAAGTCATATAAATATGCTCCAATCACTCCTAAACTTAAATCTATCTGTGTGCTCTTACATGAATTTCTAATTCGTTATGTTTTGTTCGTGGGGAGCAGGTTTCAAACTCAGACAGGCACAGGCCAAGGAAAAAGCAGAAGACAAATAAGAAAGGCAAGGGAAGACAATGGATACTAAAGAAGAAGGAACAGATGAGAAAAAAAGGAAATGTTGTTCCGCCAGACACAAAATACACAGCTCGGAAAAGAAAAGCTCGATTTTGATCTTGCACCCAGCCTATATCGTGCCGTTTTGGAGCGATGGCTTTAGTGTTTGTTTTACACAGTTTATACAAGCGTCTACGAAGGCATTACCATTTTCTCTTCAGTGTTGGAAGGTGCCGTGTAAAGCAGATTATAAACAGATCTCTCCGGGCAACGGATCTGGTTGTAACATGATTCAGTCCTGTAACCTTAACTAGTTCAAGAAAAGAGAGACTTTATTCTGTTTTACGACATTCTCCAACATAAAATTACTAAATGCTAAATGTTGTTTACGTAAAGTTAGACTTATGTTTTTGGCTTTCCTTGTCAATAATGTAAATATGTACCATACATGCTCAAATTAGTTTTAGGACAACCGCACAAAGGGCTGCTATTGTTGGAAATATTTACTCAAGGGTTTGGGCCACTTCAAAGGTTTGTTCATGCACATGCTTTTCACGTTTAAAATTTTCAACTGCTTTTGATTAGTGATGTTGTTTGGTTAGGATTGGTTGTTGCTTTCCAGCTAGTTGGCCACGAAAATTAAAGCTCCGCACATGGGCTGATTGATATTTTTTTGCGAGAGGGATTGCTTTTAGCACTTGATATACTCAGATCGTTTTTTGAGTTGACAAGTGCTTCTTGTACTTGCTAGCTGAGAACAAGCAATCTTTTTGCTTAAAGCCCTAGCTTGGCTTCATTTTTCACTTGGTTGTCCATATTAAATTTCAAAGAGAAAGAGTGCCTTCAAAAGCTTTTGAGCTTGCCTCTTCTCAGTTATGGAACCCTAGTTGCCAAACTATTTTTCATGCACAAAAATTCCCCATTGAGAAATAGGTTTGCATTGTTTACATGGTCTAGCTTTTAAGTTTCAAATCTTCATTTAGACCTAGTTTTAGGGTTCAATTTGGTTTCGTCCTTCAACTATTTGACTGGAGAAACTGCTTAATATGTGTTCAAATTGTTCTAGGAACGAGTTAAGAGAGATACTAACCACCACATGTTGATTTAGTGAAACTTGACATGGATGAGGCAGTTTCAACTATTTATAATGCACTTTGAATTGGGAGCTTTAATGAATGAAATGGGTTTGGGTTAAGTTTAATTTAACCAAAAATCACCCTATACTATTATTTAACCAAAAGAGTTTCATATTTAATTATAACGACAAAACTAATTTATATCACGTCTACACAGATTTAACACACATGGGCTGAATTAAAGTCCAAAATGAAATAATTTTTTTTTTCCACCCTTGCCCCAAACAGCAATCCCATTATGTCAGCCAATTCTGTTAGAAATAAACTTCTCTTTATTTACAAGTATGCCATTCTATCAGCAAGTTCCTTCTCCCTTTCTTTTTATTTTTTTTATTTTTTTAGCCGTTTGTTCTCTCATGGTTTTGCCTTTTTTTTTTTCCTTCTTGTTTTCTTCTTGTCGTCCTCCTTCCACTTGAAAGGGAATTAAAACCCAACGTGTGCGAAGGAAAGTGGCCACCTCCTCTTTTATTATTTATATATATTTTATATTATTATATTATTATTTATTTGTAATTAGGTGGTTCAGATTCTTTTGTTGATCAATCTCCACCCTTACTTTTGCTTGTCACTTAGAACCCACTTTCCTAGAATGCAGGAGCCACTTCCATTGGAAATTATCCCAGTTTCATTTTCACTTGGTGAGTTTTTGTAGATTTGCCCGTGGGGTCTCAACTCTTGACGGATAAAACAATGGTCTTATAGATTTGCCCGTAGAGCTTCGGTGTTTTCACCGGCTCAAATGTTTCCAACACCACCACCTTTTCCTCGTTATTTGTCTTTCTCGACAGTGTTGTTCGTGGCTTTCTTTTGTCCTAGCAACAACCTGAAAACAAATTAACAAAAAATGCATCGATATCGTACTAACAATTTGATACTTCATGTCTTCGAGTAAAAACAAGAAAGTAAACAAAATTATCAATTATAAACACTAAAGACTAACTATTTCTCAAATTGGACACGAGTACTGTCACTAATCTTAAATTGAAAACTGGTACCATCATTATTTCTAGATTGAACATTGACTATTCTAGTTCTAGAACTGAACATGAATATTATCACTATTTCTTAATATGAACACTGATACTATCACTATTTCTTAAACTGAGCACTCACTATTTCGTAAACTGAACACAAGTATTATCACTATTTCTTCTTAACAGTGATATTATCACTATTTCTTAAACTAAACACAGACTATTTTTAGAACTGAATCCAGGTATTGTCACTATTTCTTAAACTAACACTGACTATTTCTAGAGTTAAAAACTGGCTATTTATTAAACTGAACACTTGTATTATCATTATTTCTTAAAATGAACACTAATTATTTCTTGAATTAAACAAGGGTACTATCATTATTTTTTAAACTGAGCACTGATACTATCACTATTTCTTAAATTGAACCTTCACTATTTTGTAAACTGAGCATTTACTATTTTGAAAACTGAACACGAATATTATTACTATTTCTTAAACTGAATACTCACTATTTCGTAAGTTGAATATTGGTATTATCACTATTATTTAAACTTAACACTAATATTATCTCTATTTCTTAAATTGAATACTGACTAGTTCTTAAACTGAACACAAACTATTTTAGAACTGAACACAAGTACTGTCATTGTTTCTTAAATTAAACACTGATTATTTCTAAAATTGAAAGCTGACTATTTATTAAACTGCACACTAACTATTTCTCAAATTGAATAACAGTACTATCAATATTTCTTAAACTGAGCACTGATACTATCATTAATTTTTAAACCGAACAATGACTATTTCTATTATCATTATTTCTTAAACTGAACACTGCTACTATCATTATTTTTTTAAACTTAACACTTAATATTTCTTAAACTAAAAACGGGTATTGTCACTAGTTTTGAAACTGAATACTAGTAATATCACTATTTCACTAGTAGAAAAAAGCTCATCTACCACAGTGAATGCCTGTGATAGATTGCAATCCACCACGGGCACTGCGTCCGTTAGTAATCTGAATGTGAAAAAAAGTCTCAGTTTCTACCACAGGCTATGCCTGTTGTTAAATGTGATATAACCACAGATTGTGACCGTGGTAAATTGGGATCTAAAACCACGTGCACTATGGCCGTTGTGGATTACAGATAGGGGTGGGCAAGCGGGTAGAAGAACCGCGGGTTGGGGCGGGTAATCTAGGTTCGGGATGGGTATGGGCTAGTTCCAAATGTTTTAGAAAATAAGCGGGGCGGGCCAAGTCCTAAGCCCTAGAAAAACAAGGCCTCGGATCGACCCGTTTCTAATTATAATCAATGGTCGAGATTGAATGATAACCTATCATCTAATCTAAACCGTTAGACCATCTCTAACTGAAGGAGGGCCAGAGGGCTAGTTTTAGCCCTCTGGCTCTCCAAGAAATTAATATTTTAATAAACAATGCATGGCTATATTTCTTACCATCTCCAATCAAGGGCCAAAGGGCCATAGGGCTCGTTTTAGCCCTGTAAAAAAAAAACTATCTCCAACCGAGGGCCAAAGGGCCATAGGCCAAACATAATTTATTATTTAAATTTAAAAATTACAACAACTTAAATTTAAAAACTAGAACTTATATTTAAAAAGTACAACTTAAATTTAAAAACTACAAATTAAATTTTAAAACTACAACAACTTAAATTTATAGGAAAAAAATAAAAATTTAAAAACTCATGTTGTTTTTTGTTTTTTTTATTTTTTTTTTATTTTTTTATGTTGAATATTTTTGATTTAATGTTGTTTCTTGTTAATTAATTTAATTTAATATTTTTAATGGCTTAGGAAGTTATAGGAAAAAAAAATTCAAAAATAACGACTAGCTGACGTCACCTTGACGTCAGCTAGGTATCGTTGAGTTTGAAATTGTGGCCCGGCCTGGGGCTGACTGGCTGGCTCATTTGGGCCGGTCAGTTGGCCCTTTGGCCCTTTTTTGTCCAGTGGGGCCCACGAGCCCTTTGGCCTGACCCTCGGTTGGAGACGATTTTCGGGCTATTTTTGGCCTTCTAGCCCTCTGGACCCTTCAGTTAGAGATGTTCTTAGTTTCCACCCTAGTCCCAAGTCCAGGTATCCACTTTCCAAATTAATCTCACACTCACTCCCACCTATCCACCATCCGTCATTCCCTCGACTCTGACGAGATCTAAGAGAACCAGCCCATCATCGTCGCCGTGACCAACACAACGGCACCACCTATCCAACCATCCTCCTCGACGACATCCCACTCCTAGGACCCAGAGAACCCAGATCCTAGATCCCAGAACCTCAATTCTCTCATCTTCGACAACACCACCGACGTCGAGGACACTGCTACCAGCCTAGATTCTTTTTTTTGGTCGGCTACCGTAAGTCTACTTCTCCCATAATTCTGCCCAATATATTTTAAAATTTAATTTAATTTTTCCGAATTTTATTTTTATTGATGCGGAGGATCAGTAGCATGAATAATGAGATTTGATTAGAGACTAAATCTTTAGGTGGGAGTAATTTGATGAATGCATGAACATTTGGGTGAAGGAATTGTGGATCTATTTGGATGGGAGTGAGATTTGGGATTTGTGTTGGGATTTGGAGTGTTTGGTTATTGATCATGAAACCCTAGAAACGAAAAGCTAGGTCGGCTGGTTGGGATTGAGATTGGGATTTTTTTGAATTTAATTGAATCAAGAACTGCGTTTTCAGATTTGGTTTTTTTTTTTTTTTTGTTTTTTTTCTTCTTCTAGTTTTTGTTAGGGTTTCGTGTATGCTTATTTTGCTAGGTTGTATATATGTAAAATATGCTTATTTAACTATGTGCTGTTTGGAAAAGCAATTTATGCATTCTGAAGTAATAATAATTTTGTGAAATTAATGTGTTGTATGATTTTGTTTTATGTTCTTGAAATCGTTCCAGCTTGATAATTGTTAATTTGAGCATGCTATGTGTGTTGTGTGTGTGTGTGTGTTTTGTGGTTTAGTTATTATTATTTGATACTGGATTGCTTCTTGTAACGGTGAATGTAGATAATTCTCTTTTTATGTTTAGTGTGAGTGATTATCAAGTTGGTTTTTCTGGCTGCAAGTAAGTGAACCAGAGAAGTGGGGCTACTCTGCTAATTGGGAGAAAGTACTAGTCTTCTTCTTTGGAACCCAACATATGTAAGTACTTAATGCTTTCTTGATATTTTTCTATAGATTGCCCTTGAAAAATAGGGATGGCACCACTCTGCTGATTTGTTGTTATTAGTTATGGCTCTTATTGCGGATGTCATGTTTATGTTATTTTGGATTATTTGATTTTAGACTTTGAAATTTGGATGTCTTGGACTCTCGACTATTTTGTATGTTGGTTTGATCTTTAGATGTCTCTCGGATGTTATTTTGAATGTCTCGGATTTAATGTTTCGAACGATGTTGGACGATGTAATGTTGTTATTTTGGATGTATTGTTAATCTATGGACTTGGATGTTGGACTTTGTAATGTTTGGATTGGATGTGAATCTGTGCAGGGACTAGGGAGTGAATTTGTGCAAAATTTGCACACTATAGTGTGCACTGGTAGTGAATCTATGCAAATTTTAGTTTTATTTTTTATTTTTTAATAAACGAAAAAAAAAAACAAGGGACCAGTGGACGTTGTCCCTAGCTTGGCCTAACCCGTCTCTTCTAAGCCTGAGTCCGGTCTGGTCCCTTCAAAATTGGGCCCGGCCTGGCCCGTGCCCACCCCTAATTACAGATTGACCAAGTCTAATCCGTTATACAAAAATTTCCAAAAATATAAAATCATTTACTCTCTCTCTCTCTCTCTCTCTCTCTCTCTCTATATATATATATATAAAATTGCACATTTACTATGATTTAATAATTCCATAAAAAATCATGATTCAAATATTACAAACTATACACTAAAGCTAACAACAAAATCGATAAATTATACTAAGAAATACCAAACTACCCACAAAGTATCAAATACGCCTCTAATAACAAGAACATTATCACTTGAAGACTTAACATTTCTTTGGACACCTCCAAGCAAGGACATTCAGAATGAACTACTGCCCATAATGCTTGAGCCTCAACAATTGTTGCCTCTCTCTATCTGCATGGACATAAGCATATAGATCTATAGGTGGGAATATACATTAGATCTCAATCCAAATAATTATTGAACGGTACGGATTTATTGTTGTACCTTGTACTGTATCAAATATAATTCAATAGTAACTTGCAAATTGTATAACCCTGGGTTAATAAAAGAAAAAGTAAAAGAGAAAGAAGCGTTAAGACCTTTAAACTAATAAAAGATTAGTCGACGAAAGTTGTATTTAAAGAACAACATACCCGCATCCTTAAAATTGGAATCCTTAGATGCTTGAAGTTCAACAGTGCAAATATTGATCCCCATACTAAAATATTTGAGAATATCAAACACTAAATTCACTGATAACAGAAAACTTGATCCAAATTGTTCTTTAAAAAATGAAACTGCATAATAAATCTAAATCCAATTCTATCAGCCCACACTCAAATTCCCCTAATTTGCATAAAAAATGGAACAATAACATATCAAATTCAGCTAACCACCTCAGAATTCCCCTAATTCATACCTCCTTCAGCACGAATAAATTCGACATTCCCCTTCTCTGCATAACCCAGCCACTTGCAAAAACATCCATACCGGCAGCATAACCCAAATTTCAACCCGTTTTTCCTTCGTTTCTACTTCTATTAGTCACATAATAGCAGTTCCTTTACAAAATGGCAAAAAAAATTAGGGAAACAAAAATAAGCTCGAAGATAGCATCGTTGAGTCTTGGAGGACATCAAAATTGAAAATGAGAGCATGACTACCTGAGGGAGATCTTTCCCATAACAGGGCCGGACATTGCATCCAGCTCCCGGTGGTCGGCGTGAACTTTGGCATCGCGAAGACGGAAGCACGATGCGACGACTGCTAGGGTTTTCTTAGAGAGACGGTTGCGATTGCGAAGAAGGTGCGGGTCAATGTGGGGGGCGGGGTTGAAGGTTGGGGGTGGGACTTTGAGAGAGAAATGAGTAGTTTATTTCGAAGAAACTACCGATGGAAGCGAACGGGTGAGACTTGGTGGTTGGTGTCGTCAGATATGGAATTGGTATATTTTGGGAATTTTTCTAATAACAAATATCAGATTATATTATTATATTCGTTGATTAAATAAATAAATTACATCTACAACATTTATGAACTGTGGTTGATTTCAAAAAGGCACTGTGATTAAATTTAGGGTAAATCTCAATTTACTACTATCAAATTTTGTGGTTTTCAACATTTGGTATATGAAATTTTTTTTTATCCCAGAGTCATACTTAAAGTGTTAATTTTGAGACAGTTTCATGCATCGTTAGTCTGGATGTTAAGTTTCCCGTTAACTGATGACATGGTTCCTATGTGGACAATGACTGGGTGCCACGTGTCATTAGGAGGTCCACGTGGAAATTAAAATTTCAAAAAACCCAACATTTTAAACCATAACTGTGTACTACCTTCCTTCTTTCTTGCCAAATTTTTTTGAAAAAAAAAAAAAATTAAATAGGGAAAAAGCAACAACTTTCTATTCCAAATTTGTAAATTCAATTCCAAACAGACTTTCAATTCTAAATCTGCAAATTCATCCTTTAAACTACCAACTACCAACAAAGTTCATAACAAAGTTTCAAGGGTTCACAACAAAGTTCAATTGTTAACAACTTTCAACTCACAACGAAGTTCAATATTCCAAGTTGTACACCCTCCAATTCATAGGAAAGTATCAAAAGACCACAACTTTAACAACTAATGGGTCAATGTGTTCTTTCAAAATATAAGTACACAACTAAACCAAAATAAGAGTACCAAAAACACCAAAGATATGTCCAAAACACTAAAGATCTATCTGAAAGTTGTTTCCAAAAAAACTAAGGGTATATTCAACTATAACAAAATGAACCCTTAAACAATTTAAAGCATTAAAGCAGCATCATGAAACATTCCTCCTCCTTTTCTGACCTCTTGCAGTAGACTTTGAAGTGGTTTGATGATAGGAGCATATTTATGCGACTTAGTTAGCTTGTTTTCTTGCATTTAATTAGCTAAACTATGTTAATTATAGTGTTTAAAGTTATTTTTGTGCAATTTCAGGTTTTAGTGTCAAAGTATGCAAAAAGAAGCAATTTGGAGCATTCTAGAGCATTTTTGGGCCAAGATTGGATAGTGCAAGCATGGAGGCATGAGATGGACGAATTTGAAAGGCTTGAATTCAGTTAGGGAGCTGCAAGGGGGCCTAAAAACCTTATTTCTAGAAGGCTTTATCTATTCACACATGGTGCCTAATTCCTACCTTGTCTCCTAGCCGTCCTACCTTGTCTCCTACCTTGTCCTAGCCGTCCTACCTTGTCTCCTAGCCGTCCTACCTTGTCCTAGCCGTCCTACCTTGTCTCCTAGCCGTCCTACCTTGTCTCCTACCTTTCCTAGCCCTATAAATAAAGCTTTGCAGCAAGGCACTAAGGGGGATCACTCATTCACCCAATTTTCGTCCATTCATCTAGCCACACCATTCTACACATCCTAAAATCCCAGAAACACAATTCCAGCCACTTTTACCACCTTTGCCGTAACCTTCCATCCAAGCAACCATTCATCCACCATAGCCGCACCTTCCCACCACCATAACCACCTTGTGCCACCACCATTGAAGGAGAGGAGGAGTAGTGCCGTGCAGTCCAAAGGAAGGAAGAAACCTTGCATATGCAATCTGCAACTATTGGAGTGTTTGGAGTTCTTTCTTCTCTTGTATCTGTTTTCATGTTTAATTTAACTTGTTATTCAATTATGTTAAACATGTGGAACTAATTTCCTTTTAGTTAGAGGCGAATTTGAAGCCATGGACATATGTTGGTTATGATTTGATTTACTCCAGTTATGAATTCATGAACTTTAGATGTGGTTTACTTTTCTGTTTTGATTAAGAACTTGTTTATGTATGTGGGTTGAGGGTCGACACTTAATTTGCATGCCTAAACTTGATGCTAGGATATAAGGGAATTTCACCTAATCGTTATGAACTTATTTTCATGAGTAGTAAAAATCGCTAGTCACGATTGTGTTTAGTAAACCCTAGGCTGGATTAACATGCGTATTCCATAGTTATGAATGACTAGTCGATGTTTATGATTTCCGTTGAACTTAATGATCTTTGTTAAATGTCTCTATCATGCGTATTCCATAGTTAGGGACTTTGATTAGGAATAATTTGGTTGTAATGCGTATTCCATTCAATCCAATGAATCTAGGGAAATCTAAAAGTTAATTTAAGCGGACCTAATTAACTTGGAGCATTGTCGTTCATCGTTTGTTGAAGTCATAACTGGGAATCAAATTATATGCATATGTTCATGTGTGGATAAGGAACCCTCTAACTAGTTTCTCATCATTCTATTTCATAAAAATCGGTTTTAGAATCTGTTTTGTTTCCAAGTTTTTATTTTAATTTTAAATTCGTCAAAACCAATCCCCCATTTATTTTAAAGTGTTAGATTAGTTAGAAATACATTTAGTTTGTGTTTTTAAGAGTCTTGAGTCAAGTTACAACTTAATTTCGTCCAAATTTGTGTTTGTATTCAAAACTGCCCAGAAAGTGGTTTTTAGGCAGATTTGAGTGTGTTTGTGCTGTTTTGAGTCTTTTAGTTTGTTTGAGTGTTTTAAATTTTAGGTTTGCATTCATTAAGTCTAGTTTAGTGTTCTAAATATTGTTTTTACGTTTTTGAGTCAATTTCACATTGATTAGCATCCCTAGTTAATCCCCGGTCTAGAACGATCCCTATTTGCTCATATACTACAATTGTCATCCATAGGGTTTAATTTGTGTGTCAAGTTAATTCTCGCATCAAATTTTGGCGCCGTTGCCGGGGATTAGCAAAATTGCTAATCCCTTGTGTTTTTGCCGTATGTTTTTAGTGTAATTTACCTAGTTTTCTTATTTTGTTTTGTTTTCTTGGTTTAGGTACTAGTGCATGACGCGGAGTTCTCAAACTGTGCATGCACATATCTTGGACTTTAACGACGATTTTGAACGTGATTTGAGAAGAAAGAGGAGGCATCCCGAACCTAGTGAACCTAGTTCAAGTTCAGAGGCCGAATCTGAGTTTGAAGAAGTGGAAGAAGAAGTTATGGCAGCGGACAATCGGACCATTAAAGAGCTTTCGGCCTCGGGGTTGGCCAATGCCGCACCATTATGCGTTCAATACCCCGCGGCTGCCCAAGGCAAGACCGATGAATTCGAGTTGAAATCAAGCTTGTTGCACCACATTCCGAAATACCATGGGCTTTCCATGGAAGATCCCAACAAGCATCTCAAGGAGTTCGAGGTTGTTTCTTCGAGCATGACACCCATAAATGTCGATGGGAACATTCTGATGATGAAGGCTTTTCCATTCTCACTTTTGGAAAAGGCGAAGGATTGGCTGTACGAGTTAGCACCCGGAACGGTTACATCTTGGGATAGTATGAAAAGAGCTTTCTTGGAGAAGTTTTTCCCAACTTCAAGAGTCATTCTCTTGAGGAAACGGATTAGTGGCATCCAACAAAATCAAGGTGAATCGTTTCCTTCTTATTATGAACGTTTTAAATCACTTGTTGCTTCTTGTCCACAGCATCAAATGAAGGAGGAGCTGCTCATTCAATACTTCTACGAAGGACTCCTTCCCATGGAACGCCAAATGCTTGATGCCTCGGCGGGAGGTGCGTTGGTGGATAAAACTCCGGGGGATGCAAAAGTTCTAATTGCCAACCGAGCACATAATGCACAACAATACGAAGGTGTTGGACAAAGAGACCCCCCACGGCCACAAGTGAATGAGGTAAGTTCTATGCCCGAAATTCAATCCCAATTAGCTAACCTTACTTCTATTGTTTCTCAGTTGGCCGAGGGAATGAAGATTCATGGACCAAGTGTGTGTGGCGTGTGCTCTATGCAAGGATATGCCAACGATCAATGCCCTCAATTGATTGAGAATGGGGGTTGGGAATCTGCCAATGCCGTGGGTTTTGGGAACCAAAATCAACCACGCCATGATCCATGCTCTAATACCTACAATCCGGGGTGGAGGGACCATCCAAATTTCAAATGGTGGGATCCTCAACAACCCCAACAACAAGGAGGATTTAGGCAGCAACCACCGGGCTTTTATACAAAGCCATTCGTCCCCAATCAAAACCAAGTGCAATCTGCCCCAACAACCTCAGGTATGTCTTTGGATAATGATCAAGTTGTTAAGTTACTTACTACTTTGACGCAGGAAGTACAAACTCAAAATAAGGAGAAACAAATCCAAGACAAACGGGTGGATAATTTGGAGAAGCAAATGGGTCAAATTGCCGAGTTTATGGGGCAAATTGGAGAACAAGGCAGATTGCCTAGTTCAACCGTTATGAACCCGAATGGAGGATTTGAAACCGCTAAGGCCATCATGTTGAGAAGTGGTAAACAGGTTGGAACGGACTCAAATACATCCAAATCAAGTCAAGATGAGGAGGACAAGTTGCTGCAAGAAGAAGCACAGGGAGCAAAGCCCACGGCCAAGGATGACCAAACCTTGCCGAATTCATCTAGTCCTCCTAAACCGTCCCAAACCACCAAGGTAAGTCCCAATTCGACTTTTTCTAGTTCTATTCCACTAAATGTGCCCTTTCCTGGCAGGTTTAGGCAATCAAAGAAGGAAGAAGCCGAGAAGGACATTCTAGAGACCTTTCGAAAAGTTCAAGTCAATATCCCGCTCCTTGATGCGATTAAGCAAGTCCCGAGGTATGCTAAGTTTTTAAAAGAACTTTGTACAACAAGGAGAAGGATTTCAAACAAAGAGGTGGTTCAAGTAAGTGAAAATGTCTCTGCTGTGTTACAAAGGAAATTACCCCCTAAATGCAAAGATCCGGGTAGTTTTACAATTCCGTGCGTTATTGGTAATACTAAGTTTGAACAATGCATGTTAGACTTAGGGGCTTCGATTAATGTTATGCCATACTCTATTTATGCATCTATGAACTTAGGTGAGCTTAAAAATGATGGTGTGATAATTCAATTAGCCGATCGTTCTAATGCATATCCAAAGGGTGTTTTGGAAGATGTTTTGGTACAGGTTGGTAACTTGATTTTTCCAGCGGATTTCTACGTGCTTGACATGGAGGATTCACCCCATTCCACCCCATTGCCGATTCTATTAGGGAGGCCCTTCATGA